GGGGGGAGGGGGTCCAGAGCAAGTAGGCTAGTAAGACTAGCCAATCAGTGAGCTCTGGGTTTGACTGAGAGACCCTGCTTCAATGAATAAAGTGAAATAAAGGATGGTTCTTAACATCAACCTTGGGCTTCCAGGTGCATGCATATCCCCACACATGCAAGAACATGCATACATATATGCATAACACACACAGGAAAACATGGAGAGGAAAAAAAGTCTCAACTTCCCACCTATCCCCTGGCTTTCAACTGCCCTAGACAGAGACCACCTCACATGGACATGCGGTGAATTTAAAACATGGTTTCTAGTTCATGGTAGGCACTTTTCCCACCGAGAGGTGAGTATGTGTCTCCTACCCCGAATCAGAGCAGATTTGTAACTATGGTTTACAAATAGTAAATCCACGTGACTTCCAAGGCTCATCATGTGACTTCCATGTTGCCAGGCAGAACACTTATACTGGAGTTATGGGGCAAGAGCGCCACCCACAAGACTGTACCAGGCAGGCCATGTGTGGTCTTTGGTCAGCAGGTGCTGCAGAGCCTAACTGCCCAGCCATCCCTGCCAGGCACAAGCCATCCTGGAAGTGGGTCCTTTGGCCCCTGCTGTTCCAATTCCTAGAAACCACAGTAACAGTCTTGTAGTTACCCTAGCCTGGGCCCAGATGCTGTGGAGTACACAAGCTGTGCCCTTTCTGAGTCCCTGACCTGCAGCATAATTAAATCATAGGTGTTACATGAGTTTGGGGTGATTCATCATGTGGTGATAGATAACTAGAAAGAACATTCTAGTGAGGTGGAAACACTTTCTGGAAAACTTCTCTTTCCTACTCTCCACGCAGACAAAATAGTGCTGGTTTATTGGGGTGGGCAAGGAGCCACATGGCTCCTCTCAGATGGGCCAGTGCTGGGCTGTCTCAGCAGCTGCAGAGGGTACATACTCATCACCTGGGTCAGCCAGCCCACCAGCTCTCTCACCGTTAGCCAGTGATGGGCAGGGAGGGATAGGCACTCCCTGAGGGTGTGTCTTTTCCTCATCATTAGCCTTCTAGCGTCTTGCCTCCCTGCCTCTAGCTTAGTCCTCTCCCTGTCCACCCAGGGGCAAATACAGCTGGCTTTCCTGCCCAAATCAAATGACTACAGG